GTGTTTGCTCACGTTGACTTTGTTAAAAACCTTTGTATGTATGGATCACTTGGGTTGTTACCAACATCTGGTGAAAATTTCATGTCATTAGCACCTCTAGTAATATATTTACTGAGAAAAATGGTGACACGTTCAGTACTTACTTTACCTGCTGTATATTCAGCCTTACCGATGAGGATGAAGACTAGAGCAATTCCAAAGGTCAGGATGTAGCCTCGAATGGGTTCATTGTTCTTGCCGTAGCCCTTAGCAAATATTCCTATGTAAGGGTAGATGTTGTCCTTACATAAAGCCTACGGAACACAAAATTTGGTTTTTACTATTTTTGTGTTTAGAGCAAATTACATACTTATAGTTAAATTGCCAATTGTGTAATCTTTTAAAATCATCAATGCTTGAATCAGGTCCTACCTGGAAAACTTTAGGAGCACTGACTAAAGAGGCCAGAGCAGAGGACAGAGTGGCAGAGAAGATTCCAGCGGAGATGATCGGTGAAAAACCTGAAACCAAGCTCATCACCTGAAAACAGATGCATCAAGTGATTGTTGGATATTTCCAACAGATCTATTCTCTCATTAATGCTCCTAAAATCCATTGTTTATAAGGCTTGTTTCAAACCTGGTAGTCGTTATGGAGTCCATGGTTGCAGGTAGCTGAACCATTCCTACAGGCAGAAAAGTCAAAGCCAAAATGGCAGGAAGCCTCAGTGCAGTTCGTCATGAAATGAGAACTGACTGTGTCGTTAACTTTTCCACTGGCATCTCTCACAATACAGGATCCTACAGTCAGAAAAGCGTTACACACATAAGAATCTTAACGTTGAAATAATTAAGATAAACTCAGGCGTGCAGAAAAAAAAAAAAGAAGTGTACCTGTTGAAATAGCAACCCCCAAGTATACAATTCCTGTGATCAAGATGGCCAGCAGCGTTCCTTTGGGAATGGCCATCTGTGGGTCCTGCAACAGTAAATCACAAAATCTAAAGACATGAAGGAATCAATAAAAGAACAAGTCTGATTTAAAGATCAAAGATCAAGCCATGGTCCGATCTGGTCATGACCAAACACCAAGCGTGTGACATCCTCAAAAAAGAGGATTGTTCACAAATGCAGCCGACTTACAGCAAGGTCTCCTGAAATGTTGGCGCCAGCCAGAATACCAGTGGCTGCAGGGAAGAAGATGGCAAACACAGAGAAGAATGTCTCTCCATTCCTGAAGTCTGGTCCCATGTTTTCCCACATTATTTTACCTAAGAGGAGGAAAAAACAAGCAAAAAGGAGCTTAACATCAAAAGCAGCAAAAGATAATTCTGATCCCATGTATGCAGTGTGTGATCATACCATCATAGCCAAAGAAGCCAAATGATTCTTTTGATTTCACAGAAATAAAAGATCCAATAAAGTAGTTTATGATGGCTGTGATCAAAACAACAAGCAAGAAGATCTGGGCCTGAAAAAAGCAAATAAACTAGTTTATTTATTTGCTGAACTGATTTATGAATTCAACTGACAGAATATTGATAAGACACCAGTTATACCTTGGCCTCCCATTCCATTCCTGCCACAGAGATGCCCAAGAGGACAATTACTGTGATGGTGCCAATGATTCGGATATCGTTGATTTCATCTGTCATGACGGCACCCACACCCTGTCAGACAATTCAGACTTGTTAGACAGAGTTTATATCTGGTAGTCAGGTCATCTTCATAGTAATTAAGCTTTTTTTTACAAAAAAGTACTTACATTTAGAAGTTCCACAACAGTCTCAGCAAACCCCACCACATACATGGCTACAGCCACTGCATTGGCAAAAGCGAAGATCAGACCGATGGAACCACCAAATTCTGGTCCCAAACTCCTCGAAATTAAGTAATATGCTCCCCCTGGAAGAAGACATTCAAGTTGAAAAGATGTTACTAGGAAGGGTGGGGTTACTGCAGTAAGATGATACTGCTATATTTGAACTGTAAATACAGCAATATTACAGTCTATGGTTTGTCTGTTATTACTTATGAACAGTCTGAAACTTCAGCTGGTTATTATTAACTCAAGACAGTCAAAGTCTGAGTCATCTCACTCGATGGCAGTCTGTTTTGAATACAATGGTATACAATGGTACTTCAGAAAACCATTACTGCACCAACAGCTGAGAAATGTCATCAGTTTAAGGCTCAAGTCATGATGACCATCAGAGCTATTTCAGTTCTAGGATTATATGTCCACTGAACATTAGCCAGTTTAAACAGTATGTCAAGCTGGACCTGCTGCTGCTTCTTAACACTTGGATTCCACACACTTTTGGATTAAAGCAGCTTAAATTTATAGTTACTATTTTTATTATTTCCTTTGTGCTTCCAGATATTCACACGTAAATATTTACACAGATTTATGCGTCATTCAGACAAACATGGGGACAATGACTTTGACATTGTCCTCACAGTGTAGCTTTCTCATAGCAAAGCTTTACATCAGTCTCCTGTTGTCCCAGAGATCAGGACTCTCTATGTGCTGCGGTGTGAAGAAAAAAAATACACAGGTCAACATGAAACAAATATATAATATTTTGGGAGAAAATAGGCTTGGCAGAAAAATTGTTATGCGATATACTGAGGTATCCAAAAATAGCAACAGTATTGATTTGAGCACTGTCCTTGAGAAAATCTGCAGAAATAAGTTGAAATTGTAGTGATATTTGTGTAATGAACAGTGTACTTTCTACTTCTACCATTTCACAACGTCAGCACAAATCAAATCAAATGTGACCATTTTTTTGTCTGTATAGTTTATCTTGCTCCAGAGCTGCTTGATATGATAGCCAAGATATGACACAAAGCTCATCGATGTGAAGATTTTGGTAACCTACTAGTGAAGTTCGGGTTGCTATAAGGTGTGTAACAATTTATACTTGCTTAAAAATTTCTTCAAAACAATTCTTTTTTAATGGAAAATTTAAATCAAGCAGCAAGCTGACCAAAGTGTTAAAGACTCTGAGGAAGGACCAGTCATGTAAAACTATTTTTCTTTTTACTAAAACTTAAAAAGAATCCAGTGTTTGACTAAAAAGATTAAATAAACAAATATTACCATTTCAAAACTAGAGTTTTATCTTGAAGGTGCACTTCTTTTTGTTTGGTGCAGTGATCAAAAGGCATGTTTATATAAGGATGGGACCACCCAATCTGAGCTGTGGCTTCTTTCATTCTTTGACAGGAATGTTGCAACCAAGAGATTTACTCAGATATCAGATAGGTTTGTGTTAACCTCTCAATATCCTCACTCAAAACAAACATGCATGCATGAGTATCATCATGGATAACTGGTTAAGCTGACTAAAATAACATGAAGTCTAGATGCTCCACAAGTGACCTCAACTTAGTCAGTAGTCAGAGCGATTTGCTGTCCCTTTAAAGCCTTCTCTTCCCAGGCGAAAAAAATATATACTAAAAGTACATTTTTAATAGACTGCATTTTACAGAAATATATTTTTAATATATTATCAAT